GAATACAAAGAATAATATAATAATTAACATTACTAAATCCATTAAACAATGTAGTTCGAAACTACATTACACATTGTACTCTGAAAATAACCTGTAACGAACAACTCAATCTCGAATAATAATACGAACCTTTACTCAATTCATAACCAATAGTGTGCCATGCTCTTTGTTTTATACCTAGCCTTGGACATGGGTAATTTGAATAACAAACCAACAAGTATAAAAACTTGAATACTCCCAATAATTAGAAAACACCTTGAACCAGACCACATATGGGCCAATTCCCACTATAGGGGACCATAGAAAAACAAATAATAAAGATTGTACCTCATTCTTAACTCATGATCATTACCCTCTTACCAACAAGCCAAGGACTAAGGTATATAACGTCGAGCCTCAAAATCAAGAACAAAACTATCATTCTCAACCTTTTGATCAAATAACCATTCACAAATTAATAATAATAACTCCACAATGGCACAAGTTCCCAAATAATATAACAATTCAATTCAAAAATATCTCAACTCTTAGGGAAATAAAACTAGTACCCAAAATAATTAACTCACAAAAAATTATACTCTGCATTAATAACCCTAAAACCTCGATAAAATACTCCCTATAGAAACAACATTAGAACCCTAGAATAAAACATAATCAATCATATTTAATAAAAGTAATATGATACTCATATCCAATCAAATCATATAATACCAATAATCAATCATATATATACGAACTTGATCACACGAATTACAATTATAAAATTTACACATAATAATAATATAGAGTGCAAATAATAAATCATATCACACATAATAATACGAAATATCAAACATGTCCAAAGTTTCGTGTAATTACCTTTCGAAAAGCCAAAACATGGTGTATTGATGGACGAAACAATATAAAATACGAACAGATATACATATTACCAGAGTCATGAGAATGAATAAATGATACTTGGAGTTTTAATTATGCATGAGGATAAATTCATGATGAGGTGGAAAGGAAAGATCAAGTGCAGCTTGCTTGATTCACGCATAAACCCAAACAATCAATAATAAGAATAAAAGGTATATATCTGGCTCACGGTTGCACTCGATACTCCGTAAAGAATTTGATAAAAAAATAGCATATTTTAGGGTTTATGTATACCTCTAAATATTAGAGTTCTACTTAAAATAAAATAGGGTTACCAATGTTTTATCATTTACAAAATTATACTTAAAAAAATTATCAAAATAATTATTTAATAAATATACGGGTATTACAATCTACCCTTCTTAAAACAAGTTTCGTCCCCGAAACTTAAAATAGAAAATTTTAGGGTATTACACTAACATTATGAAACAGAGAGAATAATTTGTCATGATATATATAAGCTTCATACAAATAAAATACTCTAACATTTGCTATAACTCTATCTAAACACTACAAGACAAACTTATTTTAAATCAATAAAAAAAAAATTAATACATACCATGCTCAAGTTCAATGTTTAGAAGGTGAGAAGACCATTGAAAACAGCAAACTCAAGTGTTCAAAAAACATAAAAATCAAAATACCCACAAAATTAAATGCCATAACATGTTTACCATACCCAACACAAGTATTAAACCAAGTATTAGTATGCACTACTTGCAATAATGATGGACAAATGCATGTTCATTTTTCATTCATCTATACAGTTAAGCTAAGATGCATATTGTTGGAGAAGAAATTTAGTCTACCTTAGGCATTTTCCTCTTGTTTGGGTTCAATTAAGCCAATTGGGTCTAGTCATTAAATGATTCAATATTCCAAGGTCAAGGCCCAAGCCTCCATTGAGCCAAATCAACATAAAGTCAAGCGGCCCAAATTGTCATGGTCAGCCCATGACTAAGTCTGGCCCATTCATCCTCCTCTCTTTGTCATGCTAAAGTATAAAAGCATTCACTTGCACCATTTATCATTCATTCACAATTAAAGCCTCAACCATTAACTCTCTTGCATAGCTTTTCTCTCTGAACACTGTTTGACTTCGGCATCGGAGGGGTCTTCCTCGGATCCACCCCCGAGGCCAGTTTACGTGTGTTTGCTGTGCAGGAAACCTTCAGCCCAACATTACTTGGACCGGACCAGTCTTCATCCACTTCATTGGACCTTCGGCAAGGTCCCATTGTTTTCATCCGAAACAATTTGGCACCGTTTGTGGGGAAGACTTTCAAAAAGTCTTTAAGCCAATCAAAATCGTCTTGCAAAAATCTTAGTAGCAATGGCTAAGAACCGCAAGAACAAGCGACTAAGTCAAGGAGAAGGCGAAAGGCCTAAGAATCCTACACCATCACCTTCTCCGGATCGGAACTCCTCTAAGGGCGCCAGTTCGGGAGGAGCATACCGGGAGGATTCCCTTTCTCCCATAATTCACCAATCTCATCATAGACCGAGTCCTCCTCGGTCTAACAGAAGTCAGTCCGATCGTAGGACTCAATCAGTGCCTCAAAGCCAACCTTTGACCGCCCACTCTCACTCTCATAGTCAGCCGAGGACCCCTTTAACGGGGCCTAGCTCGGAAGAGGTGGCGAGAGCGTTGGCGGTGCTCATGGAAGCGATGAGGGCACTCGAAATCTAGTAGGACTGACTTTTAACAATTATATATCTCAAACTACAACTGATTTTGAGATGATTCAAGTTGGAGGTGATAGCTTGGTTCAAGAGCTTTCCAACGATAGTTCATATGCCCAATTCCGATAAGAAACAAAAAAAGTTATGACCGTTTTACAAAAACCTGACGAAGCTGGAAATTTGCAACGAGGCTGCGAGCTATAGCTCTATGCGAGTGAGCTATAGCTCAGCCCTATGAGGACTTGCGGCAGGCATGAGCTAGCTGCCGAGCTATAGCTCGGTAGTTAGGTTATTCTAGGATAATTGATGGAATATTTCCTAAAATTATATCTTTTCTATGACGGCTATTTGAATATACTTGGGGAACAATCTTAGGGTTTTATTAGGGTTTCTTTGTGTTATAAAAGAACCCTTTAGTTGATCAATTAGATCATACCTTTTTTGAGCCATTAGATTTAAGACTCCTTGTATTATTCTCTTGTTTCTTTCTCCATTATAGTGAAGAAGCTCTCGAATCCCCCACCCGTGGATGTAGGTCTATTTTGACCGAATCACGTAAATCCTTGTGTTGTTTGTTTATCTTCTTTATTGTTTTTTTCGTTCTTAATTTCATTGACTTGTTCCGCATTAATCAAACACAACTACACCCTTATTTCCTAACAGAGATATTATTATATGATTGAGAAAATCAGGAAAAGTTTCATTAATGAAATACATGAGTTGTTATTCTAATTATTACAGCTCATAACAACTAACTAGAAATAAGTTACAAACAGAACCAAATTCTGTTATGAAGAATAACAGAATTTGTTATGACTTTTGCTGACATGTTACCGCACACGGATTGATGACATGGCTGAGATACGTGAACTTCAGGTTGCTGGGTTGTAACATCATCCAACTCAGCTGAATGAAGCAAACATGCTATCAGGGCTATGATCAACTCTTCATGGCTGGCAGCAGCAGCATATCCTTTAATGCTATGAGATCAAGACTAGCGCCACTTAACGTTCCTAGATTTATTTCACGATCACTTGTTTTTCCCTTTTCCATTGTGGGAACTTTGGCCAACATCCATCCTAACTGCATACTATTGATATATATAGGAGCAAACAATGCAAGATTGTTCTCCAAATAAGCTCTTCGGATATACATACACATTATCCATCCAAAAAACAAGAATGAACAAATATTTTCATAGGAACAAAAGTTGATCAAATAGTTCTTTCAACCTAATTAAAATACATATTCATAATACAATCCAAATTTATGATTAACTAATACAGGGAAAATTGACAAACATGTATGTACAACTACTGTGTCTAACTCTCCAATTGTTAAACAAATGTAGTGCTAAGTTGTTTCGATATGTAGTTTTACTAGTTTAAACATGCACATGATGTGGTTATTTTATACTCAACTTCATCGATTATCAAGACCCTTTAATCTAATAGGCTTACCAATACCATTTCGAAGGACATGTCCATCATGATGAGCGAATCCCTCCCAACCAAGTTTCACATATACGAAGTACGAATAAACTTTAAAAAATGGGTTACCAACACCTAATATATTCATTGGAATTAAAATTTTTCTTGTTTAATAAGTTGTGCTATCCTCACTCGATAGTCCATACATACATGAGCACTAACAAAGTAACAATGCCTTATAAGATCGATGCAATACCCCGCCAATTTTAAGAATTTATAAATAATAGTTGACTACTATGAATCGCCTTAAAAATTTCTAATAATATAGAAACTTAATTAAACTTAACCATCATAAATCTTCGATAATTTGATACACAAGGTAGAGTTACTAAATTTTATTTTGTGGGACCAGTATAGAGTTCATTTAACAAATTATTAAACGAGCTCGATATGACATGTTAATAGTTCACTCTTTGTTAAAGAAACCTTTCAAATCCATCATTTTTTTTAAAAACAATTCCATCACTTTTTTTTTTTAAAAAACAATTCCATTACTTCATTTCATAATGTAATTTCTTAGATTTCATTATTACCTTTTCAAAATTCTCTTTTCAATATTCTCAAGGTGGCAAACAAAATAAAAAAGAGGATTGGGTTGTACGAGCAAAGGGAGTTCCAAATTCCAACAAAGTTGGGCCCAATGGACCCCTAGTGGACCATAAGAAGTTCATTAGAAAGAGAGCAGTACTTACAGAAAACATGAAAAAAGAATGATTTGCACTTTAAAAAGTTTTGAACCAGACACATAGTACATACTTTTCGTCTGTCACAATCATCCCAATCTTACTGTCCTTGTTAACCTCTGTTTTGGGCTATACAACCAATTTTTCATAACCTAAAAACAATAGAATCATACTAACAATTAAGTCAGAGAAAATAGAGTCAGTAGTCCTCCCTTTAATTTCCAATTCAAGCACCAAAATCCCACAGGTGAATGGTTGTGTCACTAGATGTAGCCACCACATGTCGGTCGTTGGCCGCGACTGCGGTCGTCTCCTCTACCCACTCTCTCAAGCTGTACAAGTACTCTCCATGATCAGCATCCCACACTCTCATTGTACCACCAATGCACATTACTACGTACATGCTATTCATGCACCCTAGCAATCCCATTAGTGATGATGCTTGTGCACCTCGGTGTGACACTGAGAATCGACACACCTCCTCGAGTGTACGCAGTTGTCGTACACTTGCCACCCCACGAGTGTCTACCATAACAAACGCGTTGTCGTTTGCATCAACCGACCCCACGATAATCCCTCGTCGAGATGGCTCTTGCCCCATCACCATCACTGCCTCCTCTAGGTTTAGTACCAATGCTCTAAGACTAGTTACTCCTACTGCCACCCCTTGGGGTGCCACTCGAATCCGGCCCACGAACTCCCTAGGTCGAATCTCGGTTAGCATGTGCCACCCCATCACGGACTCCGGATCGGTTAGTGATCCGCCCCTAAAAAGAAGCTCCTCAGAGTCCGCATCCCACACTCGAAACGCCCTACCCGGGACACCCGCGTAGAGCCCAACCCAAAACCGATCGCCACCCGTGAAGTCAACTAGGGCACCATCGTTGACAACATCTCCCAAGTAAGCCCGACGGGCCGGGCCGGGCCCGCCAAGAGGGGAAGCGACGTGGATGTCGCCATCAAGCGAGGCGAACACGACCCGATCAATAACGACAACGGGTTGTAACACAATGCCAGACACTGCACGGGAGAACAAGCCAAGGTGGTCACGTAGCAAAGGATGAAGGGTACGTAGGTGAACCCGGGAGGGAAGGTGAAACACCCGGACCGACCCGTTCGAAAAGCCTAGAGCCAAGTGATCATCAGCAAGGGCAATGCGGAGACACAAAAGAGGGAGGTGATCAGCATCACCACCACCGCCATCATCACCACCCCCTTGCGCGGCAGCAAGGGGGTGATCAGAAAGGCGAAGGACAAAGTAATCGTAACGACTAACACGAAAATTACGAGACGTGCGATGGAGAGTGATGAACTGGTCACGCCAAGTAGGGTGAAGGAGGTCAGTTGAGTTCCAAACAATGCGTACCAGATTCTGCCATAGCAACTCGGACCGTGATACAGCTCTCCATGTCGTGCAAACCTATCAAATGTCACATTTTTAAACCACTATATTATTTACATTACATAACATAACATCAAAATCACAATGTATGTTGTATATGCAGTGTATAAATCTAAGGTATGGACAAAAAATTAATAGTGATACAACAGTATGTAAGATTTTTTTTTTTTTTTTTTTTTTTTTTTTTTTTTTTTTTTTTATTAGCTAGCAATTTTCAAAAAAAAAATTAAAAAAAATAAAATAAAATAAAATTGTTTGTTGTTCAGTTTTCTAGTATGAAGCAGGGAATCCTAACCTATGAAAGTACAAAGCATACTCAATGCAAATAATTTTGTCAAATTCTTAATATACACCTAAGGGCTAAATCACAAAATAGTCTCTAACTAAAAGCATTTTTAATACACAAATTTTTATATGCGGTTTGTTTGCATAATATTTTGCTATTACACATTGAAATAGGTAACGCAATATTATACCGTATATTTTATTCCCTATATGTATATACTCGTATATGTATTGCTAAATGATTTTAGTCTGACTTTGCTTATATTCAAATGAAATATTTTTAAGTGGGACAAAAGCAAAAGAAAAGAAGGAAAATCATTGACACAAGACAGAGTCTTTTTCAAAGTCCTTAGAAGACCTAATTGATCAATTTTAATTACAGTAGATGTCTAAAAGAAAACATCTTTGAACATACATTGCACACAATTGAGTTGAAGTTTTTTATGCAGCAATACAATATATTTTAAATATTAAATACATTTAAATTACAGTCTGCATTAATTTATTAGTCTTTAGAACACTATGTATTCTCACAAAATAGGTTATTTTACTTGGAAAAAAACATTTATGCTTACTCAGATCATTAATATGGATATTGTAAATTTGTAATAGATCTTAAAGCATTTTTTTAGAAAAAATTGTTCAAAAGGACTTCTTAAGTGGCTTCTTTTGTTTAAAAGGACCACAAAACACGGTTTGGGTTGGCGAGAAGGACCAAGTCAAATTTTCAAGAAAGTCAAAACATTTTTATGAAGAAACTTGTGAGATTCATCAAGAATTTTAATTTCCAAACATGTAATTATTTTTTTTTCTTTTTTAAATATTACCTCCGTTAAATATTATGTATAATTTTGAAATATTTTATATCTCACAAATAATACCCAAAATTACAAATACGGAGTAACATTTAACAGAGTAGTATGTACATGGCATTTGGGCTTGGGAAACCCTGCCAGTCTTTAAGAAGAGCAAAAAAGATCAGAGTCAAAGATAGGGAAAGATGAATTATCTTTTTCTAATGAGAAAAAAAAAAAAAAAAAAAAAAAAAAAAAACAGCAATTAATTAAAAAGAGCAGTCAGGACCTAGAGAGACAAAACCTAACCAAGTAAGGGTGGCAGAAGAGGGTCAGGGGTCAGGGTAAGCCTGAAGCAGAGACTTTAAACATCAGGGTCATATAAATATTATGAAAAAGAAAGAGAAAATACAAAGGATACATTGATAAAGTACCCTACATTTTCAGAGTCTAGGTTTCATAGGCTCTTCAGAACCCTACTTTCACTAGGTTATTTTCATCAGGAGAAAATATTTATTTTCATGTGGAATAATGTGAGGTATATTTTCAGCCTTACTGTGTACTGTATTTATTTGTTTGTAAGACTGACTTGTCATCTACTGCTAATACAACTATCAGACTTTTTTGTTTTTTCACACTCCAACTTTCTTTCACTACATCACCTTCTTCTTCTTTTGCTTGTTATTATTATTACCAGAGAAACATTGTAACTTGGCATCCATACAACAGTGCACACCTCAAGACTCTCCCTATAGTCGAAGTGTTATATGACGGAAATTGATTTTGGCACACCCTTATGTGATAGAGCATAGAAACTGTGCCAAAACCATTTCCCGTGAATGACTGAATGGTTATTTGATTCCGCTTGAGTTTAACCTTTGTAGTACTATTTACATCCGAGTATATTGTTTTAACTTTTATGTTATACTTTAGTATTTAAAAAGTATAACTAAGAAAGACACATGTCCCCATCCATTCTATTACACTTCTCTAACCATAGTGCCACATGTCATCTTACACTATTAATTTTTTATTACACCATTTTTTTTAGGTTAATTTCTAAATTACCACCCAAAAATGTAACCATTTTCAAACTAACCACCCGTTTAATTTTTTATTTTAAATTATCACCCCTTAAATTAAATAAATGCTCAGATTATCACCCATATCAAAAATCCGGTGGATTTTCCGTCTGTAGGCCCCACCTAACACTTATTTAAACCATTTTGACTTATTTTCCCCTGATTTTTCTCTTTAAAAACGCTCTCTATACTTTAATTCACATTTCCATCCCTAAATTCAACCAAATTTCAAAGAGAAAAAATGTGAATTGAAGTTAGGAGAGTGTTTTTAAAGAGAAAAATTGTGGAAAAAAATCAGTCAAAAGGGTTAAAATAAGTGTTAGGTGGGGCCCATATACGAAAAATCCACCGAATTTTTGAAATGGGTGGTTACTTTGAAAATGGTTACAGTTTTAGGTGGTAATTTAAAAAATTTCCTTTTTTTTTTTAATTCTTTCATTAAACTTATACTTCATCTTTCTTACAAACTTCATCCCTCCCCTTTAATTCAACCTTTTCCTATTTTCTCTTTAATTTTAGCCCTTCCACCTTCTATTTAAACCTCCTTTTCGATTAAAGTTCAAAAATTTTAATTTCTTTAATCATGTTTCCGATTACATATCATACCCTGTAATGACTTATTGATATTTCCTCACTTATCTCTCAATACAATTTTTTCGATTACATATTAATAATTATACCCTATAATGACTTACTGATATTTCCTCACTTATCTCTCAATATAATTTTATATGAATAACATGTGCATTGCCCAGGCCAGAAGGCTAGTTTATATTAGTAATTGTTAGAATCACCTCAATAATAAGGAAACTGCTTGGACGATAAATAATTTTGTTCATTATGATAAGCTTGCTACTCCGTAGTATTTTTGTTTCAGGTTTGATAAATTTCGTTTAAGAAAAATAAATTCTAATAAGGATTATCCAATTTAAATACAACACGGTATAATTAATTCAAATAAATTTAACTAAAATACAGATAGATTATAAAAATAGGAAAATAGCTCAAGTAGTTTGATCTTTCCTCGCGATTCTAGAAGATCTAAAACACACCCAATTTATCAACTAAAAAGATGAATTGATGTTTTGAACAAAAATGACACTCGTACGCTAAGTAAATCGGAGTAAGTAGAGTACTCCATAAGGACTAATGGCTGACAAGTTACAATCTTGAAACTAAAGAATGGATTTGTCGGTTCACACTCGCTCATCTTCTATAGATTTTCTAAAATGATCTGAAATAGTACTGTACTCGTAGTGTTAATTAAAGCTGATTTCATTAACTAAATAAGTACAGTATTACATTGTAAAACAAGTACACATAATCTTCATGTTCTTTTCATTTTTTTTATGTTGATTTTACAACTCTTGTATACCGCAGGTTTATATTAAATTTTATCATAAGACGGTCAAGCTAATTTTAATATGATAACTTTAATCTCTTTCTGGTATCTTTAAAATTTAACGAGTTTTGCATTGTTAAGTGTAATACATAGTACTATGTATCCAATTCCTAAAAAAAAAATTGTAATTTCTAATGAAACATGTTATAAAAATTGTAATTTCTAATGAAACATGATTAATTTAATACAAAATACATTATAAATGTTTAGAGAGCCACATTATAAATGTTTTGTTACAAAGGAAAATAATAATTATAAATATTGTAATTTGTCTTAGTCAAAAGTGTCTTACTAATAATTGTAGCGCTCTAATTAGTGTTTAAAGTGATAATGTGTGTCAGGAGTACTTCTAAAGCAATGCTTAGGAGAATAAAGAGAAGATCTAGACAAGATTATGTGACAAATTTATAAAAAATCATTTAGATGATTCATTGATTAGAGTATTTGCCCATAAATTTATAAAATATGTTATACGGAGTACATTGATTCACCTAAAAATAAAATAAAATCACAACCTAATTATAGATAGGAAATATAATTGGCTGTCCAAAAGTATCACTGTTTTGGGTTTTGAAAGTCAGACTTCCAGTTATAGATGAGATTTTATTTTCATTTTTAGAAAAGCTCTTCAACGGCTGTACTTGATATGAACATTCACTCATTGCACATTACAACTAATGATTAGTTTCATGCTCCTAAAGGAATTCTTTTACGGATTTTTTTTTTTTTTTTTTTTTTTTTTTTTTTTTTTTTTTTTTTTTAATGAAATACATCTTTGTTCTATAATCATGTAATTTATCAACTATGGAGTGGAGTAGTACAGTATATTTTTTTTTAAACCAAAGTACTCCGTATAAAATTACTTTAACAAATATAATTAGAATCTTTTTAGAATTTACTACTAGTAGATTAGTTAAATATAGGCAATAAATTTAACAAACTTTTTTTAGGGTTTACTATTCCTTGTAATTTACTTTTAAACACGGTTCACTTCACGCTAAATTAAAAATATATTCATTTTACTAAACTAAACAAAAATTAATTATAAGCTGAAATTATTTTTACTGATTCCTTATTATATTTCTTTTTTACAGTTAGTGAACATAAATTATTTTTACAATTTTTTTAATTTTTTTTATGAGGAAAACAATTTTACTTATTAAAACCACAACAAATAGAGCCTTCAAAATAATTAATTTTTGTCCAGTTTAAATAACAGTCTTAGTTAGAATAATTAATTTACCACATAAAAATTTAGGGAATGTAATTAAAAAATTTATACACTCCGTATTAACAAGGATTTTTCTCAGAGCCTAAAAGAATTAAATACAAGTAACCAAGGACCTGTTTTAATACGTTATTTTCAGTTCAGCTCTAATTTTATTCAACATATTTTTAACATGATATGAATCTTTCTAATTTTGTACTCAATATTGATCTAATCTATAGGGTAATTGTCAAATGTTCGGTGTTGGAACATATACAGAAACGACAAGACACGTATTTGGAGAGTGTGGTCCTTCCAAAGGAGTTGTAAAAAGAGCAAACAAATATTGCAACGAATCAAGTGTGGGAAAAAAAGTTAACACAAACATAGGACTTGATACAATAATAACATGCTAGTACTAGCTTTTTTAATTTTAGCTTTATTTTTATCTTTAAAATTTCTCTTTCATTTCCAAGAAAGGATGGCCTAAGCCATGTCTCGTTAAAACCAACGAATCTATTAGAGCATTCTCATCAATAAGGAGAATTTTACTCATGAGCAAAATTGCAATATTTGCTTCCCCACCAATGAGCAAATCAAAATATGCTCATGAGCATAATGAAATTTGCTCATCCTATGAGCAAAAATGAAAGTGAATAGTGAAATCGTGGGGCCCAGCAATAGTACTAACCGACTTTTTTTTTTTGCTTTTGACACCCTCAAAACGACGAGTTTCGGGGTTTGGTCTGAAGAAATGACCCCCAAAACGACGCGTTTTGATGGCAGCCAAGCAAAAAAAAAATTAATTGCAGCTGATGACAGGGGTGCGTCAGTCCAGCGAATGGGAAGCTGACACGCGTCCCTGTCAGCTTGTTCCTCCAATCAAAAAATTCAACCGTTTAGCAACGGTAATTAAATTAAAACGGTAATTTGGCCGTTTTATAATTATTAAAAAACAAAAATTCACCAACAATTATATTTTTTTTAGCTCTACAAATAAAGATCCATTTTGACATATTTTGGTATAATTTCAAAAATCACAAAAACACTAAATATTACACTTAATCCCATTTCTAGTGAGATTTATGTTATAATTTCTAATATAAAGTTGAGCAAGGTTAATTTTTTTTTTTGGTTTATTATTTATTTTTTATTACTGTTTTTAGTACTTTAATATTTTTTTCAAAACGTTATTAATGATATTTTAAGTAGCAATATTTTTTTTAAGTTTAAAAAATCCAAAAAACTCTTTATTATTTTTACTCCCAAGTTTAGTTAGATTAAATTTTCATTTTCTAATATTACTCTTTATTTTTTAGTATAACTACTTTTTTTCTCAACAAAAAAAAAAAATTATTTAATTACTTTTCGTAGCACTCAGAAATTATTTAAAACGTTATTAACGTTATTTTATTTTAATTTAGGTGTGCCTCTTAAGTATATATTGTTGTTTTTAATTAATTATACAATATAATGGATCCAAACAACCCTAATTACAATCAACTTGCTCAACATTTTTCTGATTTAGGTGATGATTTCATTAGTAGTCCAAATTTTCAATTATTCCTAGAAAGATTAGGCAACCCTTCTTCTCAAAATTCCGTTCATCAACCAACACCTCCACAAATTCCTAACAATGAAAACACTTTTTTTTAGCAACAAACTCCTCCCGTTACCGAAGGGAGCAACTCTGAGTACGATGTCAGCCAAGAAGAAGTTGTTCCGGAGACACCACAGTACCCTCCACCACCTCCAAGGATTCCGGCCAATCAACCACTTGCCAAATCGAGTCGCATTTGGTCGGTTTCTGAGGATGAAGCTCTAATTGGGTTCTACCTAGAACTAAGTGATGATGCGCTTCGTGGTACGAGCCAAAAGGCATCCGAACTATGGCGAAAAGTTCATGCAGCTTACTGTAAACTACAAGCTGAGAAACCGCATATTCTCCCGCCAAGACCTATGAAGAGTTTGGAGACACATTGGAGAAGAATGGCAGCTGATTTGCTACAGTGGACTAATTGCTATGACGAGGCGGGCAAACTCCCTGAAAGCGGAAGTGGTTACAACGAAGCCGATCGAATTAAACACGCCTCCAAGTTGTTTTATATCTCCTCTAATCCACAACATAATTTCGCATTTCCACATGGAGTGGAAATGGTTAATAAAGATCCGAAGTGGAGGACTAAACTAAGATAGGGTCTGTCAAAAGAGGAAAGAAAGGGTTGCGGTGCCGATGATGAGGAAGATAGCAGTGGAAGTGGGAAAAGGTCTAGGGGGAGAGTGAGAATGAAATCCGTACTGATGGATTTATGTCCGGAGGATTACCACGACCAGACGGTGTCAAAAAAACGAAGGCTAAGCATAAGGGCAAAGCAGTTGCTTCCGGAAGTGCAATATTGAGCATTAGTGGGCAGATAAAGGCGTGTACTGAGGTTAGAGAAAGGGAGGCGAATTTACGACAACAACGGTTGGAACTTGATCGAGAAAAGGAGAAGAGGAAACAAAAACAAGTTGAATTAGCAGAGAAGAAGATGAATTTTGATATGCTTCAATCACTTTTAGCAAGGACAACACCACTCACTCCAGCTGAAGAGGCCCACAAGGACGAGTTACTTCAATTAGTCTACGGTAGAAATTGACTGTATTTCCTTAATTAGTTTAATTTTTATGAGTTGTATTCATGTCCCTTGTCTTATTAGACATTGAGTTATAATATGTCTTTCATGTCAGTTGTATAATTGTATTTTGAATAATCAAGATTCTTTTCTGTCTTAAGTGTCATTGAATTGTCAATCATGTTTCATCACTCATTGAATTGTCAATCATGTTTCATCAGTCATGGAATTGTCATTCATATTTTAGACTTGTCATTGAGCTTTCATGCTTATAAATGATAGTGATACCATATGAAGCAAATATAATCCAACTCCTCAAAAAATATTCCAAACACCCAAGTAACCAGCAAACACAATGTTTTCCATTAGCTCAACCTCCAGCTCGTCTGATTCTGATCAATACGTTGAATTTGATCATTTAGTTGACGAATTTGTCACAACCCATCTACCAACTTTGTTGTATAACAACCAAACACAACCCCAACCTGTATCCGATGTTGAATGTGTTCTAGAGCGTAGAGGGGATACGGATAGAAGAGATAGGGAAAAGGGGCATGTTCAATTATTTAATGATTACTTTGCAAGTAATCCAGTTTATAGCGACAAACAATTCCGGCGTAGATTTCGAATGCAACGACCTTTGTTTTGTAGGATTATGAACAAGGTGGTCGAGGGGGATCAATTCTTCCAGCAGCGTAGGAATGCAGCTGGAAGGATTAGTTTATCACCGTTGCAGAAATGCACCGCTGCGATTAGAATGTTGGCGTACGGTACCTGTCCAGATGCGATGGATGAGTATCTGCGCATTGGCAAAACTACCTCCAGATTGGCTTTGCAACATTTTTGTCATGGGGTTATTACACATTTTGAAGCTGAATATCTCAGAAGTCCCACCGACGAAGATTTAAGGAGAATCTTGCATCAAAATGAAATGCGAGGTTTTCCCGGTATGATAGGTAGCATTGACTGCATGCATTGAGAGTGGAAGAATTGTCATATGGCTTGGAAAGCGCAATACGCAGGCCGTAATAAAAATGCAACCCTCATTCTAGAGGCCGTTGCAGATCAAGATTTATGGATTTGGCATGCATTCTTTGGGATCCCGAGATCTTGTAATGATCTTAATGTCCTTTACCGATATCCGGTCTTTGATGATGTTCTTCATGGTCGGGCACCTCCAATTCATTTCACCGTGAACGACCATGAGTACAACTTGGGCTATTACTTAGCAGATGGCATTTACCCAAAATGGGCTACTTTTATTCAAGGTATAACACTTCCACAACTTCAAAAGGATAAATTATTTGCTAATAAACAAGCTGCAGCTCGGAAGGACGTTGAACGGGCTTTTGGGGTTTTACAGGCTAGGTTTGCCGTTCTACGACAACCCTCCCTTGCGTTTAACGAAGACATATTGTGTGACATAATGAAAACTTGTATCATTATGCACAACATGATTGTCGAAGATGAACGACACAACTATGCTCTGGCCGAAGTTTTAAGAAGGTACTATGAACAAGATCGCCCGCAAATTACAAGACCCACTACAAGTGCTATAGTTAACAACAACGAGCCTTTTGAATTCAATGTTGGCCGACCGCCAAACGTTGATTTTGACACGTACGTCCACAGAAGAATGTCACTACGTGATAGAGACACTCATGTTCAATCAAAAGCGGATTTAGTGGAACACATTTGGCAAAAATATGGTTCTATTAATGAGTAAAAATAATCGTAAGATTACAATTTAATAGAGTATTAATCGTACGTTTAAAATCTAGGTTCGTTATTGGTTTGTAGTATTAAATGTATTCGTACGCTAATTAAATTTTATGTTGTATTACATTTATAATTAATTAGCGATTAAATTTCAATATTATGAATGAAAATTTAATAATTGTATTAAATTAAATAAAAGTATAATTGTAATTAGTACCCATAAATATTCATTTAACCAAAACATAATAAATATTAATAGGGTGATGTGTAAGAGAGAGAGATATTGGTGGAGTATGTGAAAAAGTAGGAGAGAGATTGATGAGCATTTTTTTGTTCACTAGTGGGATAAATTTTGTTCACTAAAAATGCTCATGAGCAAATTTAGTTGGAAAGAGAGAGAAAGTGGGTAGAGAGAGAATGAGGAGAATTTTTTTTGCTCACTAGTGGAGATGCTCTTACCTATCAAACATCAAAATCCTCCTAATATGTAAAGCTTTGTTATTATATAGATTTGCATATATTATATCCTTAATAACTCCATATTTTCTAGGAAAGTGTATAAAGACTTCATCAAAATTTATTTGACATAAATAAATCACCATTAGTTGAAGTCTAGAGGGTAGATGAGATTTAAACTTATGATCTTTATATCTCGTTGAAACTAAAATATTTTGACATTTTATCCAATTCGCTATAATTTTTTGTATGATATAGTTTTATATACTCCCTCCGTTATATATTATTCGCAAATTGCAACAAAGGGGAATTATTTATAAGACATAAAATATTCCTTTATTACGAGTAATATGTAACGGAGGGTGTATAATAAATATAGTCTTGTGAATTTTAATTAAAATTGTCTTATAAATAATTTATTAATATTTAATTATTAAACTGTAGAATATTACTCCGGATTAATCAAAAGTATTGCATTAAAGATCATCTCAATCACAAACTAGAGCTGATGGTTAAAGCCGAAAGTGGATTTATACCTAAAAGTTATATATACGCGTGCCTAGTGCTTGGATATTCTTGTTGTTTACAGAAGATGTTATCAGCTTTAAACCTTTTGTATTCGCTTTGAACTTTGGTTGTATCATCCAACTCTTTTCAATTCCAACAAGTGTTAAATCAGTTAATACTGTAGTAAATTCGTTTTTATTAAAATACGAGTACATGTGAGATGAATCATAAAAGGAGGATGCAGAATTATTTATGTTACTCCGGTATCTTTTACCTCTCTCATGCAAATTGTCTAAACTCCAAAAGTTACATCTCGGTAAATGTATCGGTCAAACTTATATAATTAAAAAAAAAAAAAAAACTGAAGAAGTAAAATTATATACTAAAAAATATATACTACCAGAGTACAAGTACTCCATATTTGAACTAATTATTCTAAATTAATTTATTTAAAAGTGTTTAAAGGGAAAAAAAAGTGAATAATACTCCTTAGCTTTGTTCAGACTAGGTAAATTAATTAATACTAAACATTACGGAGTAGGGAATATAGTTATTTTACTTAACCGAGCACACTGATATATAGAACTTATCTAAACTTGTTTAATTGAATAATGAACTTATGTATCAATTACATTAAGTAACTTGTTTAATTGAAAAATGAACTTATGTATCAATTAAATTAGGTAGTCGAATTATTATTTTTACTTGTATTAAGGTAAAAATATTTTGTGCCCTAATTTAAGGTACAATGTGAGTTTCCTAATTTAAAAATTTTTATGTTTTAGGTGTAACAAGCTATTAATACTACCTCCGTTTCATATAATTGACAATTATTAGACATATTCTATTCAAATTTTGTGTGAAATCGTTGCAAATTAAATACTTCGTTCTTTTAATATAGCATCACTTGCCTTTTAGGGAAATTTACAAAATATTGCATCAATTCCATTTTAGGATAAAAAATATCTATATTCACACTGCAAATACCCAACATACCCTTACTTTTTCACATTTACTTTTTATTTTATCTTACATTACATGGTCAATTTTGTATTTTTACGTTTCTCTCTCTTACTTTTTTCCACTACCAAATTTTGCCTCCAAAACCTCTATGATGCAATAAAAAAAAACGGAGGAAGTAATATGAATCGAAAATAGTAAATTAAATGAGTAGTTTATGGAATTCTACACGTACATGCATATATTGTAGCTTTGTAGTTGTAGAGTATAGGTTTATGATGTTCAGGTTGAACTTGGTCTTTAATATGGAGTTCTTAATACAGACAAGGAAAACCTACGAGAAGCTAGCTACCTGCTTACCAAATACTCCCTACACGCTGAGTTTTATCTGATGGTTCGTTACATGTAGTGTCCCACACCTTCCTCAAATTCGACCTATGCAACAAGTTTTTCGGCCTATGCAATTCTCGGAATTATTAAAATTGCGAGTAGTTTGAACCCAAACAAGTCTTATAAAGAGACCATTATGCTGTTTATGTAACTAGTTTTTCGGCCCATGCAATTATATAATGATTTAATTTCCATAATAATTTAATTCGGAAAAACACTACAAAAGAAAACTACTCTGTATTACGCCATTTAATTATGGCAAATTTTTATGTTATATCCTTAGTAAGTTTTTCGGCACATGCAATTATATATGATTTAATTTCCATAGTAATTTAATTCGAAAAAACACTACTCTTACAAAAGAAAACTACTCCGTATTGTTCTCAAAAAAAAAAAAAAAAAAAAAAAAAACTACTCCGTATTAAGCCATTTAATTATGACAAATTTTTATGTTATATCTTTAGTAAGTACAAAAGTACATGAAAAATTAGTAAGATTAGTAATGTATACCATAATATAACTAACCAAATAAGGTCAGCTTTTAGTTTTCAAGTATAAAGTTCAGTACATATAAATAGCAATCTCAGTAGTAGAGTAGTACAAAGTTATATGAAGAAAAAAAAAAATTTAGTTTTTTTTTTTTTACAATTTTTAAGTATAAAGTTCAGTATATATAAATAGTAATCTGAGTACATATATTTATATGAAAAAAAAGAACCTAAGGTCAGACCCAAGCACTCTGACTAGCTGTTTTATTTTGGAATATTCAAAAGTCAATAAATATTTTATTTAATTACTCCGTAAAAAACATTTGGAAAAAAAGAAAATAAAAATGGACAGGGGTATTTTCTAGAAGAAATCGATGCAAAGAAAAGGAAATTTTATTAATTTTTTTTTTTAAAAAAATAATAATAAAAAGAAATCCAGAAAAAGAATGCTTCCATTTTCTGTGATCAGGGTTACAATTATATCCTCTGCCTTTTTTCAACACCAAAAATAGAAATTTCCAAAAGGATGAAAATAACCACACTGATCTCCTCGATTACATACCACTAGATCCAACAACAGCTTATACAGGATCCAATTCTATAGGATGTTCTTGTACCCTTCCTCCCTCCCCAACTATTTACACACCTTAACTAATTTCTTTTTTCGACACGTACACAGGTACCAAGATGAACGACCCAATTGAACCTAATCGACTAATAGATTTTTTTTCATTCATCTATATAAAACAAATTACACTCTAGAAATCAATCATAAAAGAGTATAAGTAAGATCTAAAACTCCATAATAAGGTCTCATATAAAATTTTTTAAAAAATGATATAATAAGTACTAGTAGAGTTATCTTGAAGTTTAGGCTATAAATAATTTTTTTATTGACAGAATATATAAAAAAGAATTTAAATAAGAGGAGTAATGTTATGTTGTGTGACACATTCTTCCATAATATATTTAGTTCTGCTCCTAAACTGTCTAATCACACTTGACATGAATAATTACGACAAGAGGTTCACTTTTTATTTTCTCGATTTTCTTCCTCCTTTTGGACGTTTCCCTTTGACTTGACCCTTTCCCTATATTATTTTTTTATTACACCCCCAAATTAATATACTCAACTCGTAATTCTGTTACGAGTATAAAACAAATGTTTAAATTATTTTGATAAATCTGTCTATTTGATTAATTACTTTAGCTAAAATGTAGGAAGTGTTACATTTTTAACATTTATTTTAATACATTTAACTCGTAATTCTATTTAAATTGTTTTGATAAATTTGTGTGTTTAATACTACAGCTAAAATGTGGGTAGTTTGAAATAAAGAAAATAATAACCTGTGTATGTAAGTAATAAAAAAAAAAAAAAGAAAGAAAAGCTGACCTGGAAAAGGATGGCAAGAGAAGGAGCAACAGCAAGGCGAGCATGAGAAGAAGAAACATCAAGAGCAAGTTGAATAGCAAGAGATTCAAGAAAAGGTTCAGGCCAAACACAGCCATTATTATTATTATGATGAGTAGAAGTTGATGCTTCTTCAACTGATTGCGGCACTACTAACTCTGGTGGTGGTGAAGTTGTTGGTGGTCTCCTTCGCCTTCGTCGTCGGCTTCCGCTTTCGTTACCATTTCCATTTCCATCACCATTATTATTACCATTTCTTCGCCTTTGTCTTGATGACGATGACTCTCCTACATCAGATGGAGGTGCTGAAGAAGACATTCTTTTTTCTTTTTTCTTTTTAAAAAAAAAAAAAGAAAAAAAAGAAATAGAGAGCAAGAAGAATGAGAAGAGGGTTGGTTGTATATTGTATGAAAAGGGGCCCAAAAAGGAGGGAGAGAGATGAGGGTGTATATATAGTGGGAGAAGTAGTAAATTGTAGAATGTACTTTATATTATTATATATAAATGAAGGGTTTGTAAATCTGGTACATAAAAAGGACAGGGTGTTTTTTTTTATTATTATATTTTATTTTGTTTGTAAAGAAAATTAAAAAAGAGGAGCATGTAAAAAGGTTCTTTTTTGGTTTGTTGTACAGAGAGACGAAGGGGATGTTGTGGTGATGGTGTGGTTGTGTATTTACCGATGTTATCACGTGTTACTCGCCACGTTTCTGTTTTTTTTTTTTTTTTTTTAACAACTGTAATATACTCCAATTAAGTTTAGAGAAATTTGAAAGAGAATTGCAAACATAC